CGGCAGATCGGGCACTGGCGGCCGACAAACGGGTGACCGTTGCGCAGGAGCCGAGCTGTGACAGCGCGAGACGTCGAACAGATCGCGTTGCAGCGCGCAGCGATGAGATACCGCACGCCGTTCGAGAGCGAGGCGTCAAACATGGGCGATCGGAGTTGTGTGTGTGTGTTGAAGGGGGGCGGAGCCCCCACTTTATTACGCATACCCTTGGGGCCTCGCGAGGGCGATCGGAGTTGCTGCTCTCGTCATCGATCAGGTCGGCGAGGGGAGCCCATCGGTTGGACGTGACGATGGGCCAAAAGCGAGTGAAACGCGACCACGACGAGACTCGAACTCGCAGCCTCTGGATCCGAAGTCCAACGCGCTATCCATTGCGCCACGTGGCCCACCCTTCGAATTTTTCGATTTTTGTAAGCACTATATTCCATTCTCTCTATTCACCTTAGCTTCTCACTTTGCTGCTACTTTAACCGGCCTGAACCGCTCTTTTCGTCCTTAAATAATCGCTCTATCGTTCTACGCGCCAATATTTATGGTCATAGTACTGTATAATGTCAGTCTCAACCTGATTTTCCAATGCGACAACCACCAAGCACCAAAGGGCAAAGCTGTACCTGGTGTGGGCAACATCTTGCAGTGCTGAGCTGCCCCGAGTTGTCGCTCCTTGTGAAAGTGCCAAAGCCGCGCTTGGTACCTCGGGTAAGAGACAGTCGAGAAGTCAGCCAGACTTGCCGCCGGCGGTCTGCCCGCTGTGCCCTCCTGAGCATGCTCCGCGGTCCCCCCCCCCCGAGCCAGGTCTGCCCGGGTGCCGCTTCGCCCTGTGACACTCCGCCGAGGAGCCGAGTGAGGATGGTGTCGTCGTCGGACTGGGAGTCCTGCTCTTTGGCTCTGTCAATGAGCGGGTTGAGACCCGCCTGTTGTCGAACGGCTCTGACCGAGACGCAGACAGCATCGAGGTGCGCGAGTGGATGCACATTGTCGATGCCGTGGTTGCACAGAATGCAGCGGTCGGCGGCGAACGGGTGGTTGACGAGCAGCCCCGCGATGCGCAGCACAGAGCGGGCCGTCCAGAGGCCGTTCATGCGCAGCGCAGCGAACAGACGGACGCCGCACCAGCGCGGCTGGTCGAACATTGGGTCGTGGACGAAGCCGGTGGTGTGGATGAAGCCGGCGGCGGCTTATCGGTCGGTCGAGTCGTTGAGGCTCGACGTGGCGAGAGTGCGGGCGAGCACAAACCTGCGCAGATCGTAAGTCCCACTGGCCAGAGCAAACTGTGTACCAAACTGCACATCGGTGACGAGACCCTCGCTCTGGAGCTCACAAGGAGCTCGCAACCAGCGCCATGCTCTTTTCAAGCCCATTCACAGCTGCCTGACCATGGCGCATCATTGTCTTGCGGCGCTCATGCGGGCTGCGAACATGACTGCGGAGTTCCGTGTCCATTCCCGGGCGGTGACTCTGACCACGGCTGATGATCCGGCCCGCTCTGTCTCGCTTCCGGGCCGCAGCCCGCCGCATCGCCGACATCCATGTTGCTCAGCGTGCCGAGGTCGCTCGCGGAGCGTCGCCTTCTTCCTCTCGAACCGCAGGCACAAAGTGGACCCGGAATCGCCACTTGTGTTGCTCAAAGGCCTCTGCATCAAGCCATGTGCGGTGACTCGCTCCATCCCCCATTTGTAAATACAAGGCATGGCGCAGTCAGCGACAGAGTCGGATTCATTGCCGGACTTCTGTCTTGGGTCTGCTCATGAATCTCGAAAGTTCGTTCTATACAACCATCAATAGCATTTTTACTTTGACACTGCTATGACGCCGCAATCAAATTGCGCCTCAAAGAACCAACAAAGCGTAAAGAGCATCAGGTAAGTATAAGAGGTCATATTTTATTAGTTTTCATGTTTTGAAATGTTGCAATCCGTACGAGATGGGCAACTCAAGCCTCAGGAGTCGCAATCCTGACCATCGGCTTGCGCTGATGGGCGAGCTTGACAAGGACGTTGAAGTCCGACATCTTTGCGGGCCGGTCCCACGTGGCAGGCGCAAGCGACGTCGGCCGCTCCATG